TTTTGACGGGTCAAGGTGCGCCCATCACCCTGAACTATTTTTCCAGGTACGCCCAGTGTCATAAAGTAATTTTTTATGTATTCAGTATCCCAAACTAATTAAAACGGTACATCCACATCCTAGGCTAACAGAAAAGTCTCGTTTGACCGTTACCTTACTAACTTAGCTGAAGATTGACAGAAAAATCCTACATGGCGAACACACATACGTTTGATGTGTATTATTTTGACTAAGCTCCCAAGACGAGCCCGGTAGCAGCAGGAGTTTTTCGGAAGGCGACCACGATGTCGACGAAGTGAGGGGAAAGTTCATTGTGTTCTAGGAGGAGGAAAACAAACGCGACTCGGACGAGGAGTTGATAGAGACGGAGATAGAAGTGTGTGGTGGAAGAAATGTGATAAAATCTTAAAGACGAGGATGGGATTGAATGGGTGGTACATGTACCAAGATTTAAGAGGATGGATCGGTGGTCTTTCTTTTTTTTAAGTTTTAAAACTGGTAGAAGATAAATGTTAGAAGAGGAGGAAATAAATTGAATTTTCAGTCAAAATAATACACATCAGACTCCTGTGTGTCCGCCATGTAGGATTTTTCTGTCAATCTTCAGTTGATTTAGTAAGGTAACGGTCAAACGAGATTTTTCTGTTAGCTTAGGATGTGGACGTACCGTTTTAATTAGTTTGGGACACTGGATAAATAAAAAATTACTTTAGGACACTGGGCACACCTGGAAAAATAGTTGGGGGTGCTAGGCGCACCTTGGCCTGTCAAAATAATACACATCAGACGCCTATGTGTCTGTCACGTCGGTCAACCTTCAGCTGAGTCAGCAAATAACGGTCAAATTTAACTTTTCTGTTAATCCGGGATATGGATGTACTGTTTTAATTAGTTTGGGACACTAGATGCACCAAAAATTATTTTAGGACACTAGGTGTACCTGGGAAAATAATTCGGGGTGCTGGGCCACCTTAACCCTATATTTATTTCATATACTGTAAAAGCACTTTTAAAATTATAGTTTGGTTTTCATCCAAACACCCCCTTAACCTACAAGCCCATTAGTTTTGTTTATATCCATATATTGACTAGCTAGGAGTATTTAACTTCTCCTGTTCTGATCAATTTAGGACGGGATGAAATAGGATGGAACAAAAAAAATTTCAGGACGGGACAGGATAACAACAAACCTTTAATTAATTTTGTCTATATATTTATGCATCTTAATTAATTTTTAACCAATTTTTATATTCAAGAAAAATATATTGTCTATATATTTATGCGTCTTAATTAATTTTAAACCAGCTTTTAACTTTACGTAGTTCGAGTAAGATTTTATATTTATTATGAGTAAGCCTAACAAATCATGGAATAGAAGATCAAAACTACAAAGTAATTTTATTCTGTCGGGACTATTCAACTTGCTTTTGTGGGTGTTAAGAGACTGAATAAAGATTTACTCAAAAAAACAGCATGATTTTAAACGGTGTCAAAGGTACTTTTGCTTTTCCCTCTTCTCTTTCTTAATGACTTAAATAGTTAAATGGAAGAGAAGGTCCCAAAACAATTTCATGCTTAAAAGCGTTACCACTTTTAAGTTTTACCTAAGATTTCATGATTTTTAAATGAGTCACGTGCAAAAGTTTATTATTAATTTAAATTTTATTAAGGTTCTTACCCTTTTTAACAAAATTTTAATAAAACTTTTAAAGTTTTGAAATCATTGATGGTCTGTAGACGCATTTAATGTTTGGTAAGGTAACTCCCACTTACTAAATATGATTTTTTTTTTTTTTAAATTAAGAGTGGGTTGCAAAGTGTATAATCTTCTTCTTGTTTTTTTTTTTTTAACCAGCAAGTGCATAATCTTCATACCCCAGTCAGCTTCTACCTTTTAAAATTAAGATGATGTTAATTTATGTTTTTTTTTTTTCATGAAGGAGGGCAAAATTGGGAATTTGGGATGCCAAAAGCCTTCAACACTTCCTCCACCTAAAGAAAGGTTCTTTAATCTCAATTTTCATTTTTCAGATTGTTTTTTAATGTTAATTATTCTTTTGTAGGGCTATTAATTATTAATTTTCTTTAAAAAAATTAGCTGCTAACTAATTTACAGGCAGTTTAGATCACCCCGATCTTTGTTTGTCAATTTATAAATTTTATAGGTGAATAATTTATAAATATTTTTTATATGTGTCAATAAGATTTATCTAACTTTCATAAACTCTTTCTCATTAGGGCTGTTTACATTATTCCACTACTAAACAACTTGCCCAGAAGTTTTCCTTTAATCTCGATATTTTCCCCTCAAAATTTAAAACTTCATCTTACTTATTCTTTTTACATTTAAATTTACTGAAACATATGACGGAATATTAGATGAATAAATATAGAGGTATATAGAATTCAGTAAAACTTATGAGAAGAATTAAATAAACAAAAATTTACTCAAAACATAAGAATTAGGTAAAATTCTAATAAAGTGATATTTGAACTTGCAAATTTCCAAATAGTCACTTAAACTTGCAAAATTCTAAATTGGTCATAATAACTAAATTGGAGTTTTGAAATATTGACCAATTTACAATGTTGCCCTTTAATTCTTTTTGAAAATCCTCAGGTCACCCTTGTTGGCTGCTGAAGCTCTAGTGCTGCTAGCCAACACCAAAGGTTGGGTGGCCTTTGGTTATTAGAGTTCCGACCGCTGGCCAATGACCTCTGACAACCGATAACTATTTATTGGAATATTTTTTTAACTTTTATAATGTGATATCATGACTTCATTAATACTATTAACCACATGTGGTTAAGATAGTAATTGAAATTGTAAATATTGTTATAAGAGTTGTCAATCACATTCTGAAAGTTGAAAAAGTTTTAGTTTAAAAAGCTGCAAAAACAAGTGGTTAAAAGCATTAATGAAGTTATGAATATCATTACAAGATTTGTTAATCATGGTATGAAAATTAAAAAAAAAAATCACAATGAATATTGCCAATCACCGGAGCTCCGGCCATCAGTCAATGATCGACCACTGGAACTTCGATGACTAGTTGCTACCTGACATTTGGAATCGGTTACTGGCACTAGAGTTTCGATGGTCGGCTTGCTAGTAGAGGTGACTTGGTGTTTTTTAAAAAAAAAAAATTAAAAAATAAAGTTGTGAATTAACCAACATTTCAAAATTCAAATTTAATCATTTACAGATTTTGCATTTTACAAGTTTAAGTGGCCATTTGGAGATTTGCAAATTCAACTGTTATTTTATTGGCTCGAAGGGTTATGGCTCATGAACAATATATTAGTCACTCTCAATAAATTTTGTTCTATCTCTCATTTAAATGCAAAAACTAGTTCAATATTTGGTTTCAACTTTTAATATTGAATGTTTTTTTTTTGGTGAATTAATATTAAATGCTTGATTTCATTCTTTTATAACTCCATCATATTTTTCCAAATAACTCATATTAATTGCATATATTAATTTATGTAATCATTATAACTAGTTTTCAAGAATTTAGATGGCGGTAAGAGGTGGGCATAATCTTTAAAAGGCTCAAACTAATGTAGTATCCCAAAATATTTTTTTAGGTGTATCTGGTATCTCAAAATATTTTGTAATGCATCTAGAATCTTGAGATATTTTTTTAGGTGTATTTAACATCCTGAAATATTTTTTTTCGACACTAGATGTATCAAAAAATATTTTTAGTTGCTAGACGCATATAAAAAAATATTTTATGATATTGGATATATAAAAAAATACTTCATAATACTGAAAGCACTTAAAAAATATTTTAAAAAACTAAATATAGTATAAAATATTTTAGAAGGCTGAATATACTCGAAAAACTATTTTATAGTGCTGAATATATGTTAATCCTATTTAAAATAAAGTTTTAACCCGCATTAATTCAAGTTAAATGATTTTAGAAAAAATGGGGAGTGAGACAGAAGACACGGAAAGGAGGGGATCCAAACAGAGAAAATTATGAAAAGGGCAATGACGAGTAGTCAAAACACGAACATGAAAAAAAGTACGGTGGAGCAGACACAGGCAGCACCATTATTATTATTATTATTATGGTGGTCCGATTTTAACAAATCTTATTTAAAAAATTGCAAAAAAAAAAAACCATAAAAATTACAAAATTGTAAATCTGTATTTTGTCAAAAAAATATGTTATAATTTATAATTTAATTGTTGTGAAAACCTATAGGCAATAACTCGATTTGCGATTTTATAATTTTTATGGTATTTCTTTTGATCTTACTTTATATTATATATATTTATGTTGTCCTATATCTTTTTAATTTGCCATATCTGGAAAATTCTCCCCTCCACGTGTACGGCTGACATTGCTTCTCATGTCTCCTCATTCCCCAATCCCCACCACTCAGCTGCTCCCTTCAAAATTATTCCAGCCTTTGACGCCCCAAAGCCCCCGCACACAAACTATTTCCAAAAAAATATAAGAAATATTAATATCAGGTGTAAAAATATGGACCTATAATTAAAATTTATTATTATACCACTCTTGTCTGATTTTTGACATATCAAATAGAGCATTATTAAATAGTAGTATATTTTTCACTTATTTCTTTTTTTTTTCCAATCTTTATAATCAATATGAACAAAACTGAAAATGAAACACTAGAAGCGATATAAGTAACAAAGAAAAAGAATCAAAATCTCCTCATAAAATGAGGACCAAAGCAGCACGTTATTCACTTATTCTGAGATTTGTTGATGATGATTGCGTTTCTTCCTTAAAATTTTGTCAAAAAACCAGGTTTTTGAGGCACAATGAACCCGAGTTCCGATGATACGCCCCACGAGGGCAATAGGGTCATTTCACGGCCACCGGCCTCAGATGATGGCAAAAGTACATTTTTAGCAACTTTGGCCCTCGAAGGAAAGTGGAGAATGAGGAAACAGTACACCACCACCACCCTCTCTCTCTCTCTCTCTCTTCTGTGCTTTTCTCCTCAAACTCAGACTAGGGAGTGAAGCGAGAGATTTTCCAAGGCCACCCATAAACGTCAACTAGCCTGTAACCCGATAGGCGTTATTATTAGTGGCAAAAAGATTACTGCAACCTCCCCACACAGAGCTAAAAAACCAGCCAGGAAGCAAGCTAGCTGGAGGCACACGTACGGTTTTTCTTTCCTGCTTCGTAATCATAAACAATTATATTCCTCATTTCCATTTCATTTTCCATCTTCTCCCCCATTTTGCCGGGGAAACCACTTTCTTTCCCTTTGTTTTCCGCCGGTATCGTTTTTCCATGGCTGAAACCGGTGTTGTCCGGTTTCCGGGGAGTTTAGACCCACGAGCGGAAGAGTTCACGCCGAGAAATCAAACTCTTTACCGGCCGGCTCAACTTTTCTACCCTTGCGCACCCACCGATGGTGTTCCGCTTCAGCCTTTACCTTTTTGTAATGCTGCTCCGGTTGGTGTTCCGTATCCGCCGTTCTGTTCTCCTGCGGCGTATGTTGGCCCCCTGGCTCCGCCGACCGCGGCGACGACGACGCCGCCGCCTCCGTCATCTTCCTCCCCCTCGCCCACGCGGTCGCTGCTGCTCAGCTCGGTGCCGGCGGAGGTGGTGAGCGAGTCGATGATAAGGAAGGAATTGGAAGTTTTTGGGGATGTGAGAGGGGTTCAGATGGAGAGGGTTCGGGAAGGAATAGTGACTGTTCATTTCTACGACCTGAGACATGCAGAGACGGCGTTAATGGCGATTCGGAAGCAGCACATGCAACAACAAACCAGGCTTCGTAATTTCTATTCCTCCATTTTGAAGTCCGGCAATTCAGCGTCGGAGCCGGATTGTTACTCCGTCACCGCCCCACTGCCCCCGCCGGCGCGTGGGCTGGTCGCCGGTCGTGCTGTGTGGGCCCAGTACATTGTCCCGGCGTACAACGCCGTCCCTCAAGGGCAGAACCAAGGGACCATCGTGATTTTCAATTTGGATTCGGCGGTGTCCACAGAAACTCTCCGACAAACATTCGAGGCATTTGGTAAAACGTTTCAGGCCAATTCCTTTTTTTTCTTTCCTTCAATCTCTGTCTCTTTCTCTGCCATTGAAAGTAAAATTTCATGATTACCTTTTATGTTTCATCTCGTCGGTTTGCGATGTGCTTTAATTGGGTAGCCCATGAAGATGAGATCTGAAAGTGTTGTTTTGAAAAGGAGAAAGCTATTGGGGCTGATGTCGTTTTGCTTGTTTCATGTCGGAGAGATGACTTTTTAATTTTTTTTTTTGGCGTGGGGACTGTTGACTATGTTATAATGCCAGTGGGGTAATGTGGGTTTTGGGAGTAACATAGACACAGACTTGATGATATGTCTCTATCTCACTCTTTTTATTTACTTTTTATGACGTTTTCGACTGTCTCTGGTCCTCACACCACTTTCCTTTTCTTTTTGGCCTTTCTTGCGGTTTTTTTTTTTTTTCAAAGGTCCTGTGAGGGAACTGAGAGAGACGCCATTGAGAAGAATCAAAGGTTTGTGGAGTTTTTTTGATGTGAGAGATGCGGCCAGGGCGTTGAAGGAGATGAACGGTAAGCAAATTAACGGTATGGCCGTTGTGATTGAGTTCAGTCGTCCCGGTGGGCATGGCCGGAGTTCTTCACCCACCCTACATTCTCCAAAACGCAACGAGCCGTTGAACTTCCAACCTCCTCCTCCTCCTCCTCCGCCGCCGCCGTTCGCCCGTAAAAACGCACGTCGTTTTGCTGCTGTTTCTCCCCCGTCTCCTCCTCCTCGCGCTCATCTTCCTCAGCCCAAGAACAAGGCCAACGATACCGCTAATCTGGGAAGTGTGAACTCGGTTTCTTTTTGAGTGGGGTATTAGTAGAAGAGAAGCAACCGGAAGGGCCTGCGCCGGGGAATGCTGCCGTGAAGAAACTGTGGCGGTGAGGCGGTGGTGGCGGGAAGCACGAAGCAACCCAGAAGTAGGAATTGGAAGGGGAAGCAAGGGAAAAAGCAGGAGACAAGGTTTCTAATTAAGGAAGATGCGATTGTGGAATCGAGTTGCAAAGATTCCAGAACTACTGTCATGATCAAGAACATACCCA